CCTTGCGGCAAGCTCGCGAATTCTGTGGCGACCTCGAGAGCGTCCTATTAAATGTGCGTGTTTTTAGTGTGTGTTTGTGGTGTAGCTATATAAAGACATTATGCTTTGTATTTTTGGGAACAAATCTCATTTCCCAACTTTTAAGTTGGGAAAATCCTCTCTATTTCCTTATTCTTTATTTTTGTTTGGAACTTTATGAATCAAATTTTCCGGCGAACTTCCGGCAACATTGTTTTGAGCAAAGTTTCAAGCTTTTGATTTTGTTTCTTCTCCCGAGTGCATGTTGGAGTGGGTAACTTAGTTTTAAGCCCCATTACCTAGTATATCTTTCTTGCTTTGGTAAAATTGATGTTGTGCTTGAGATTTTGGAAGAAAAGATTGTTGCTTTGGATCATGAATGTTTGACTAAGTGTGATAGGAGTTGAATTCTTGCTCGATTCATGCTAGAGTTTGATTTGACATTCTAGGGTTTTTAGCGAACATTGCAATGGTTGGATTTTTGCGTGCTTTTGATCATGATGACTCCGATGAACCAATCTCTCTCTTTCCCCTTTGATTTCTCTTGTTTGCTCTCTCTCTCTCTCCCTCTCTCCTTTTCTCCTTCATGCGCTCATGATTTACTTGCTTTCTCATGCTTTCAACTAGTAGTTTAGTTTAGTTTAAATTCAACCCAAACCAAGTGATTAGCATGTCTAGGATGTTTTCGTTTGAGTGACTTTGACGACTAGTAGTAACCGAAACTCCGAATAGCCTTCCTTTGAGAACGACCCGAGGCCGGGTAACTCGGTTACCAATACCCAAAAATATACTCAACAAAATGGCGCTGTTGCAGGGAAGGCAAGTAGGACGCCTAGTTTGCTATTTGATTGTCTCTTTTTCTTGTGTTTCTCTTGATTTTTGTGAACCTTGGTTAATTTTCGTGTTTCTCTTGATTTCTCTTGCTTTTTGTCGTTTATTTGTTTTTGTTGCTTGTGTCTTGATCTTGTTTCCCATTGATACGTTCACGGGTGTAGTGGTTGTTTGTTTTTATGTGAGGTAGACGACGAGGTAGACCCGTAAAGGAGACACGACTATTCGATCTCTTCGTTGAGCTTAACATCGAGGAACCACAACCGGAACACGAAACCGAATTGATGGCGGGACAAGGAGAGCACTTGCCACCACAACCTCCCCCGAACATGAGGTACTTCGCACGACCTATCATTGGAGACAACACTTCGTGCCTCGTGCTCGGGGAGGCGGCCCGAAATTACGACCTCAAGACCATCCACCTAAACCAACTCCCATCATTCTACGACCTAGCCCAAGAGGATGCTCTCAACTTCATCCGAGACTTCTATGCAACCGTCAACACATTCCCACTCCAAGGCCTAACCGAGAATCAACTCCGAATGAGATGCTTCTCTTACACCTTGAAAGACCAAGCCAAGACTTGGTTCATGACATTGCTTCCGAGGTCACTCAACACGTGGGAAGCCGTATATGAGAAGTTCATGAGCAAGTACTACTCCCATCAAAAGACCACCGGCCTCCGGACTCAAATGGCTAGCTTTAGCCAAAATATCAGTGAGACTTTCCACGAGGCTTGGGAACGATTCAAGGGCTATCAACTCCAATGCCCACATCACAACTTTTGCCTCGGTGTGCTCAACCAATTCTTCTACGATGGTCTCCACCAAACTCTTCAATACATGATCGATCATGCGGCCGGTGGAGACATAGGGAGCACACGGAGGAGGAGATCTATAATCTTTATGAGATGTTGAGTGAGAATTCGCAAAGGAAGAGCGTTCGTAAGAGGGCCCCCGTGAATGAGGCTACACCATCAACCGGGTCCTCGAACGATGCCGTTCTTGCCAAGCTAGCCTCGTTGGAGGAGGAACTCAAGCAACTCCGGCTAAGGGATGCAAAGTCAACTCAAATGGTGATGGCCGAAGTATGCGGGTATTGTG